TTTTTGGGCACTCCCCCGAAAAAAAAAAAAAGACCGAAAACCCACCCCCCGCCCTGTGGAATTCGTAACGGGGGGCCGTAAAGTTTTTCCCGGATCCCGGGGGCCCCCCCCCCCCCCCCCCCCCCCCTCCCTTGAGTTGGCACTTAGGACCCATCAAAACACACCTGCCATCTCTCGGGCATAATTAACAATCAACCAACACCTCATAAGGGTCCTCGGAACACCTTCTACGGTACTCGTACATGACGCCGCTAGAGGCACGTGTAGAGATACAACCAACTCTTCGAGCTCGACATGACAACAACCTCACCATGTGAGAGATACCAACAACATGAAACCGACCGGGTTCAGCTAAGCAAGGCCCCACCCACGTTTGCTTGTTTTTATCATCAAAACCTAAGGTATATTAATCGCGTGTTGGTTGACACCGGAACTCTTCGCGCACATAGATTGCACACACAGCACACACAGCGTTTTCTGTTAAATTGTTTCTGTCTTAAGGTTACAACACATGCTGCGTCCTCCCTGGCTTCTTCTCCTACGATACAAGCAGCGCTCAACACTTCAGCCTCCCCCCCTACCCCACCCTGCCCCGAAAAACTGTACCAAAAGTCGGCAGGAACCGGCTCAACTATGGAGGAACTGTGCTAGGAACTGTGCTAGGAACTGTGCTAGGAACGGTACTAGGAACGGCGCTGTTCCATCTAGACTAAGATGCGTGGTCAACGGTCCAGAACAAAACGAGCCAGCGAGCAGCAGCCGAACATTACCGCCCCTCTTCTAATACCACACCTGACGACCAACAAAGTCGCATGCGTAAGACAACGTCGAGGTTTGGCAACCTGTGCAACGGTTTGAACTTGGCAGGGCACGCACGCGCATGGTCTCAACACTACGATCGAGTGAGCCCAATGTAAAACGGAGGACCCAAACCTAATCTCCCCGCAAAATTTACGCCCGTTCATCCTCAACCCGGACGACGGGCGGTGAGCGTTGGTACGTCGACGACAATAGGTGCTACTGTCGTCTTTATTCCCCGGCCTAGCTTCTGGCGGCAGGTACAAAAAGATGTACATTTCGCTTCGCGCTAAACGCACAACGACAGAGTGTGCCGTTTGTCGTCGACACGACGCACCCGCGTAAAACAGAACAAGCTCTGGAGCCGACACCACAAAACGTTTTCTTCGTCTTCTCACTGCCACCAAACAACAAAAAAAGTGCAACCCAGACGGAGACATATTGGGTCGAGCGATAGCGTTGGTAAAACATATCCCAAATTTACGCAGGCAACATCTACCACCCGGTCCGGTCAGCCGCACCACCTACTGATCGGAAGCTGTGGCTTTGTTGTGGGGGAGCAGGCGAGGTATTCCCGGGCAAGTAGACAATGCTGAGGCGTGCGTGGTAACGACGGTGCGATATCCCCGCCAAGCCCATTTTTTTTTTCCGAGGGAGCCATGACGCTAAAATCCTCTCTCTCTAATGCGACGCGTTTTTCTTCCCCTGCCGTCCTTCCTTTCCGTCCCTTGGACACCATCACGCATCAAACAACAACAACACCAACACCACCACCACGAACGAAAAGAACAACAACACCAAAACCAGAACCAGCAACACCAACGCAGCAAGAAGACGGCAAACCCCCTCATGTACGTAAGAAGCACTTGACAATCCCACCAGCCACCCACAACACACACAAATCAACAAAAGGATCGCATCAACCCCCGAAGCCTACACACGACGTCGGGAGGGGAAGAGGAGGAGGCGAGGGCAGGCAGAACACGTTTCAGGCGAGAGCCCCGTGCTCGTGCAACACCCCTCTCCAAGCCAGGTCGCACTTGGGCCCCTCCACCACATCCGGGTGCTCCCGCTGCAGCTCCGTCAGGCCGTCGGCGTAGTCCGGTTCACACCGGTGGAAAGACACCTTTCGAGGCCAACGCACACACAAGCAGTGTTTTGTGTTTTCCCACCCCACTGAGACTGACGTATTCTCATGGGCCAGCCGGTGAGCACGGTCGATGCTAATCATAAAAACACGCACTGATGTTTTTTAGCACGGGAGAACGAGCAGCAATGCCGCCTGATAGGATTGAGACCTTCCCTTGTACTTGAGAAGCAGGACTCTGCTGTTGTACAAAACTGATCATTGGTCAGTCGGTTAGCGCGGTCGATAAAACTAATAAACATGCACGCACGTGTATATTGTTTTTCGTCTGGTGCCATTTCTGGCTTCCACCCGGAGATTAGCCTGCTTAGGCTCCCTGTGAACTCCCCCCCTCACAGCACCCCACATCATGACCGTTTTTAGTCGCACAAAGAGGTACTACGTAGGTCTGTTCATTGGTCAAAACATGATAACGTATTTAGTGGATGATAACGACACGTACACACACCACGTGCGTGATGCGTGCATCGCTGCGGTACACATGTGCGGCTGCACGGGCGACAATCGCCACAAAAAAAAAACAAAGGCATCACTCGCTTCCCGGCGATGGAAACATTTCACCTTCGCTGTTGTACAAACATATCATCATCGCTGTTGTACGTACAACGCGCGCGTAGTTCGTGAGTAGCAAACCAGGGGTCGATGCCGCCATTTGCTGAGCAAGTTCGTTTCTTCCTCGTTATTTGTTCGAACGACCTTCTTTCTCATCGTCGGCTTGGAGCGAGCGACACACACACACACAGCGCCACATCTAAACAACCACACCGCACGAATACGTGGCATATGTGTGTACCTGTTCTGTCGAGGCGTCGTACCGGATGTCCACCATGAACGGCTCGCTCCAGCACCGACCGCCGCCGCCACCCCTACTACTGCTGCTGCTGCCGCCATAGCCCCCTTGCGCTGGTCGTCCCCCCCCCCCTCCCCTCCCCTGCCCCTCCGGGGATCCTGTTTCTTCTGCGCCTTCGTCCGTTGCCGCGCACGTGGGGTTGAGCACGTGGTTGCGTATGGCGCCTGTGAGCCTTCGCATGGACACCTGTGAGGTTTCCATTTAACGTAGGGAAGCGGGGTTGCTTTTGTGTTTGGTCAAGGAACGGTTACATAACTCCAACCCGTGGCCGCACAGAACGGCCCCTTTCTACCCTCTCCTCCTGCGGTACGTTGCCTTCGATTTTCAATGCGACAAGAGAGCACTCTCTTCCCTCTGTGTACACACGAACTAGCGCTATCCGCTCCAGTTGATTTTATTCGAAATACGAGTAGATAGGCGAACAGCAAAAGAGGCAGATGACCCATACATGGTAAAAGGACAGAGTAGACAGGCAGATTTGGAGGGAAACAACCAATAAGCACTTTTGGTGGACGCCACAGGTACGACGGGGGGCAGTGAGCGCGCCGCGGTAAAACAAACAAGATGCGCAGCAGCAATCCCGCTAAACAGAGTCTCATGTAAGGAGGCTATCGCAGTGCACACTGTTCACGCCGTGTTTCGCGCGTCTGTCGCCGTCGTCGGTGTCTGATTTCGGGAGTTTGGTTACCACGCCAACCGGCTGACAGATGAACATGCACTTGTCTCCGTGGAAATACAAAAAAATCCCCATCTATTCCGCGGGGTCCCCGGACGGGTGGGTTGGTGAGGTCAGCGCGGAATAGAGTGGGCGGAGGGGTCCAGCATCCGGACAAGAGAGAAAGTAGACGATCGCGCACCAGCACATGGGTGGGACCAGCCGCAGCACCCTACATCTAGATTCGTCTGAAATGTCCATGCAACCACACTTGTCACAGCAGTGCTGTCGTGGGACCCTCGGTTATCGGTGACCCCCCCCCCCCCCCCCCGCGCGCTTCTCCCTTACCTTCTCCACGTCTCTAGCCCCGTACGCCGCGAGCTGGTGCCGGATTATCTCTTCCCTTCCGTCGTTGGGCAGCGTCACGTGGTAACTCGAGTACTGAATGTACTGGGGCTGGACCAGGTGCCACCGCAGACCTGCCACAGCGACAACAACGAAGATAATGTTAACACCACAAGCAGGAAGAAGCAGCAACGACATCAAACAACAGCAGTTCCAACAACAAATCAACAGCAGTCTTTTGGAAATCTGTTTTGTCAGCTGTAGAACGCGTTGGCGGTCGGCACGGTGGTAACAGGTCTACTAGAACACGGGGGTCATCTCGTTCAACCGGGCTCTATGAGCGGCCATTTCATTCCCCCCCTTTCCCCTTCCAGACCTGTTCATACACATGATATAATTCTTCAGTTTTCCCGGTCCCCACGTACTCGCACAAACACTGCGCCTGATGTGAGAGCCTGGTCCAGCGAGAACCCGGCGTGCTCCGTCCCGGCTTGCGAGGTCAATGGTCTAACGACTACGGCATGCACGGCTACTGCTGTACGAGTGCATCCCCCCAGCACCACCCACCAGATGTCGTGTACAAGCCCCCATCGAGGGTCTCGGCCAGCTTCTTGAGCTTCAGCTCCACGACGAGGAGGTTGCTGGCGGGGTCCATGGGAAGGTAAGGAACCACCTTGTCCACCATCTTGCCGAACCGCAACCTAAATAGGGAAAAAAACGCAAAACACAAATGACGGGAAAACACAGCAGTCATCCACCGTCAAATGTCTTGCTCGCGCATTGCATCACACGCGATTTGCACGCGGGGATTAACAGGATGGGATTGGACAGGTCTCAGGCTGAAGGAGGGCTGACTGCGCCATGAGAGCGCGGCGGGACCTTGATGCGCCAAGAATCGTGAACAAAACCCCAAGCTGGTGCATGCACGTGACCACGCCTATTTTCGATGCGCCGCGAGGGTGAAGGAGCGTCTGCCGCCGAACGCACGGCGTCCCGCGTTAACTCCCATCGATTCCGTACGAGGGGAAAGCGACCCACTCTCCGCAATCAAACAATCGGGGAAAGATCTTCCACCACCCTTAGCTCTGCACAAGTGCTGCAGCATTTTCGAGTCTTCTCACTGCCACGCCCTGCCTTAAGCGGAACTAAACACCCCCATCAGCAATCACCCGGTCAAATAAGACAAGGGGCAGAGCGACGGCGAAAAGCAAAAAAACCCTAACCCTCCTCTCTTTGTATCCTTGTCTGTCTCTGCCTCTCTCTTACCGCTCCCACTGCTCGTCCAGGCTCCTCTTGACCGCCGATTGGAGAGCTCCCTGTTCCGACGGCCAAAAAACAAAAAGTGGACAGGACACAAGCCAAGCGCGACGGAACGAAACGGCCAGCAGTTGCAACAGTCATTTTTCCAAGGCCGGCGGCGGTGACGGCCAAAAAAACGATTCATCGGAGCGGGGCAGGGGTAGGAGGCGAGAAGCTTAAGCAAGGGGAGGGGGGAGAGAGAGAGAGAGACCGATGCCTTTCTCCTATCTTTTTTGCGAAGAACAAGCCAGCAAGCAGGCAAGCAAGCAAGCAAGCAAGCAAGCAAGCAAGCAAGCAAGCAAGCAAGCAAGCAAGCAAGCAAGCAAGCAAGCAACGTCGCCGCCAAACTCACCGGAACCACGTCGGAGCGTTTCCGGTACCTGAGCACGGCCGCGTTGACGCCCTCGGCCCCAACGTCCGACACGAGGAGGAAGACGACCCTGCTGCTGTCCACAGACACGTTCTGACCTCCCCGCTCGAACGTCACTCGAGGATGCTCCGACATCGCCTCGGCTAGCGCTGGTGTCAGGATCGACGGTGAACACGTTTAAACTACGATTATGATACGACGAGGACATAGTGAACATGATTACTACGAGAATGCCAAGATTGTACTTATGTAGCACACCCCGACTGACAATAGACAATATTAACTCGGCAATCTCAGCGGGCGAAATAAGGCCATTATTGCAGGATGCAAAAGATGAAAGTCACAAGGCGAAGAACGAACCCCTCTCTTTTGGAGATAGGGCGAAAGAGAGAATCTCATTAAGGGCACCGCGAAGCTGTTGAAGCACCGCAGTGACAGCAGTGTCGGAGGGTTACAGACAGACAGACTGCTACATAGCGCGCCTGTATCCAAACACCGAAACAATTTCTTGTTACATGCAGCAGCAGTACCGCCCATGTAAGAGAAGCTCTTCTCTCTCTCTCTCTCTCTCTCTCGTTTTGTCTCTCTCGCCGTACCGTCCAGCGTCCCCGGGGCGGCCTTCTGCAGCTCATCGAACAAGACCACCACGTTGCCGCCGCAGTACTCCAGCCGCTGACCAAGCTTCCGCCGTATCAGGCTCTGGTACTCCTCCACCTTCGCCGCAACCATGTAGTCCGCCCCACTTCCATACCACCAAGCATACACGCACCACACCGCGACACAGTCGGCGAGGAAAAAAATCAGGGAAAAGGGGTAAGGCGACGGCAAACAGCTCTTTAACATGCCTAGAGCATGATACCCCACCGACAACATACACGTCGTCGAAATACAGCGGCAGGGTCTGGGACAATGAGGCAACGAGCCGTGTGTTCGTGTGTGTGGGCGCGTGTTTTATAACTAGCATCGACCGCGCTAGCCGTCTGACCAATGAAAAGATGTCAGTCTCATGGAGGGGGAAAAAACATTACCTCGCTTTCTAATGAATCGATAAGGTGTGTGTGTGAAACAGCACCCTTTTCACTCGAGAAAAGAAATGTATTGCAACGCTGATACGGTAGCGAGTTGATCGATGACGGGGCTTCATGGCAACAAAAAAAACCAAGCACATGTTATGCTGGCCGGTGTAACATCGGCACGGATGGTGTCATGGTGACGAGGTCGACCGTTACGTGAAATCGATTCGGGAACACCGCGAGCACGCCGAAAAACCGCTCGAAACAGACCTTTTCCCGGCGACGAACGTTTTGATACACCTTCGGAGAAGACAAGTGCATGTAAACACCAGGTACACACTCGGCAAACACCATTCCCCCCCCCAACACCGTCCGAATTCTGTGCACGCCTTGCAACCCCATACGGAATTGGAGGCGCGCACGCATCACACAGGGGTTCTCCTCGGCGTGAGCCCAGATCTGAGCTCCTCAGCATCGAAGGCGAGACCGGACTTCCGGTGAGGCCGTGCCCCACGCATGACTGAACGGAAACGCTGTCGAAAAACATGAAGCAGGGGGCGTCGACTAGAGAGCGAGCGGCCTGTCGCCCTTCGAGCCAACGCGGCGGAACTCACTTGAGCACCAGGAGCCCCCTGGGGATGTCCCTCGTGCCGCCCGTGATGCGGCAGCGCTTGGTCAGCAAGGCGTCCGCCAGCACCCACGCCGTCTCTGTCTTCCCGGTGCCCGTCGACCCCGTCAGCGCCACCACCAGCGGCTCGTACCGGTCCGACTGCCGGCTGCGAGCGTCTCATTCGCCGTCGTCATAGTCGTCGTCATAGTCGTCGTCATTGTTGTTGTTGTTGTTGTTTGGACAGCAGTGAGCATGAAAGACAAGGGTCAAATGTCGCGAGATAAGTTGTCTCGGTTTGGGACACACCGTTCCCGTGTGCGACGGGGTTACTTACATACCGTGGTGGTACTCGGGCTCGTCGACTTTTTTTTTTTTTTCACCGAGCAGCGAGAAGGCAAACAAGCAGCGTGTGTGCGCGCGGGGCGCATTTGCACAGTATGTGCGTGGGAGGTGCGATCACTTCCTGTACGCGGAAATGAGATTTTGGTGACCTTGTTTGGTGCGTGAAGAGTAGGAAGGGCCAGACATGTAAAACGGAAATCATATCACTCCGCACACTCCGGGCCGAGAAAACATGCTGAAAAACAAGGGGGAGAGAGAGAGAGAGAGAGAGAGAGAGAGAGAGAGAGAGAGAGAGAGAGAGAGAACGGAGGTTGACATCCACACGGGAACTACAATAGCATGCTTCAGTACTAAGAGAACACAACATAAACAGTTAGAACTGGCATGGGGTCGCTCGCAGATTGTACCTGTAGTGCCACGAGGACAGAGCACCGTCGAGAGATTCTAAGGCGAGCGGCTGCGCCAGGATGCCGTCCTGTAGAGCCCGTCTTGCCGCCTCTACCGGGTCATCGGCAAAGGGACACACGCCTGCCCCGTGCCATCCCATCCCATCCCATCCCATTCAACCACAAGCATGAAGCAAGCGTGGCAGGGCAAACGATCGTGTTGTGTAAAACGTGGCAGCCATGGCGAGGCAAATATTGCTGCTTGTCGCGACCTCGGGCGCTGGAAGAGCAAAGTGTTCTGAATCGAAGGGATAGCAACAAGAACAGAGGAAGAAGTAAAAATACATGACGAGTTTATCTTCTACTAGCGATAGTTTCTTCTACAGACGATAGGCCTTGCGGGTAAACAACAAACAACAGGTAAGCCTTGCCCGTGCACGGCCAGAGAGCACTTGGTACTCTCTGGTTGTTGCATGTTTCAGCTAGGGCCTGTACTCACGCCACCCAATTAAGTAGCTTGCCAGCGTCAGGTATCTATTGTGGAGATCGACAACTCAACATGCACTTCCGGACGGTTGATGAGGCCACTGCTGTTGCCCCCGCCGCCCTGCCTACTAGACTAATGTAGAGGTAACAGCAGTGCATTCGTATCGTACAGCAGTACCTCGCAAGTTTGGAGGCGTGAGAGCCGGTCGGTCAGGGGAGCAGAACATGAACCGAGACCAGAAGTAAATTGAACTCCATATTCTGGTCGCTACACGATACTTTGAGAGCAGAATATCCTTCAGTCGGCGTACTACGGGCAGGTTACGCGTGAGACAGCAGCGATTCGCGAGACAGCAGTGGAGCAACTGCTGCGGTTGTTATCATATGCAACCATGCATATTCTACAGCAAGTAGGGCAGCCACAACAAAACCTATGCTACACTCAACGCTCGATTCCAAAACCATCAAGCTCTCCTCTTGCACCCCAGGCGTCCCACGACAACCAAGCGTCGCCATCCGACTTAAATCCTCACCATAGCCTGCCGTCTCCATGGCGAGATCGACACCCCACCAAGTGAGGCTGCCCATGACTCGAACGGCATCCAACACGGATATAGTCGCTGCAGATGTGGCAGTTGCCGCTGGTTCTTCCTCCACGCTTGCTGCCATCTGGGCCTGGCTCACAATCATGGCCATCAAAGCGTACAGCAGGGAGACCCATCTCGGCCGCGATGCCGACCGAACCCTTACTCGACGTAGCATCGGCGAACACGTGTCGGCCAACACGATGGTTATTGCTGTCTGAAATGGCAACACAAGACAGGCACACAACAGACAAGCACACACACACAAACAGACCGCTTTTTCGGGGGGGGGGGGGGGGCGCGGCGCGGAATACTTGTAGCGTAAGGGGAGGGTTCCAACGGTTTTGAAACGGGCGACGACGACCACGATCCTGTACATCTATTTCACGAACAAAGAGAGACGAGACGATCATCCTGTATCTCATGCGAGTTGGTCGTCACGCAACACATCGATGCTCTGTTTTTTGGGTTATCGGTGCATATATGTATGTGTGTCCTGTTCGATCTGTGGGCCTACAGCAGTATTATTACTCCAACAAAGTCTCGTCTGTGATTTCTGACAAAAGTGTGCGTTCTGCTTCCACCGCCAGCGACGCCGTTGATATTCATTCTCTTGCTGTCGTTATTGCCCGCTGTTTGGGCGTTGATCGATGGAACACCTTTCGAAGCCTGTACGTCGTACTTTTTACGAGTTGCACGGGCTTCGAATACCTTCTATAAACGACAGGTACAACTGCTGCATGTCGGTTTCTGCATTGATTGATGTGGGGATCCCTTCTTGTTGGCATATTATATACCAGGTATAGTCTAGACCAGTAATACTACATACATGTATGTACTTTGGACTTCAGTTGTCAATCTCACCCTTGAGTTCTTCTTCTCTGGCCGCCATCTATTCTGAGACCTTCTTTGACGACGTAGTAATGACCCCAAGGTCGAGGTATGATGTTGTAGCTTTAGCCAGAATGGATATTATACAGCGCATAAGAGTTAGTCTACCTGCCATGTCCACACCTACCCCTCTCTGGGTATGTTTGTTTTTGGACGCACCAGCAAGGGTCAAACAGGAGAAAGGCCATGCACAGGAGTTGTATTGTTGTTCTGTTTTGTCTCCACCGTCTTTCGTTCCTTCTGCGGTGCTTCTTATTTTTGTCCTCACTTTTGTGCGCACTACACAAGTAGTCTATGCATAAAAGGATGGTCAATCTGTCTTCGGTTCCTTTCCCTCGTGCGGGCCTTGCGGTAGAAATTGGTATACACCTAACAAGTAGCCGTTGTCCACATTTGTATGGGCGCACAATGTTAGAGCAGGTTCTAGGCCGTGTGTGCCATGACGAGATTCGAACTCACTTCAAACTCCAGAACGTTGCGACCAATTGAGACAAAATGGGGCGACCAGGTTAGTATGACCAGCGGGGGGTACAAGGTCACTTCCTCCCGTTATTGTGGCAAATTCGATCGACGACGTAATCATTATTTCCCGCTAAAAACCGAAAATATCTCATTCGCCTCCCATCTTTGTTTGGTGTCGGTATCTAGTCTAGAGGTTTCGTCTTCTTCCTGTGTGCTTCGTTTCTGGCCCGTTCGATACCGATTCAATGAGAACTCCATCCCGCACCGACTGCCCAGTGCTCGCCAAAGGCACCACCAGCCGATCCCTCTTCCGCCATCAACGCGGGAATTGTCGGGGTCAGCGGCAAGGTCACGTTAACCGCGATCAAGGCGCAGGCATCCTCGTCGCCGTTGCCGTTGCCGTTGCCATCGACGCCTTCGACGCTCACACCCCGCGCAGCTACGGGCTCGGACCAACCCTCGGCATCCACCGTGCGTCGCCCCCACCCCATCGCCTCGGGTCTCCCGACTCCCGCTTTGCACCACCAGCCCGTCGCTCGCGCCCGCCGCCTCTGCCCCGGAGAAAAACCGAACAGAGCCCCCGTAAGAAGACAACGCGCCCTGGTGCTGGGAGATGCAGACGCTCGAGTTGTTTCCGACGGCAGCATCGATGCCGGAGCCGACACTGCTGCCTGTGGACTAGGCATCGTCCGAACCGGAGTTGCGCGCCACGTCGTCTTGCACGCTCGCAGCCGCACCGACAGCTATGGCGAGAGAAGACCCATCGTCGGAGGGCTTCGAAGAGTCCGAGGTTGCGTTGTCGCCGCCCTCAGGCTGTGCGCTAGTGCTGGCGGCTATCGAGGGAGTGATGGCGGCGGCGGAAGCGGCGGCGGTAGGCGGGTGCGGGATAATAGCCTGTTGTTGTTCCTCACTCACCGCTGCACCGTCCTCTTTCTCCAAGAGGACGGCGAGCCTCCCCGACCTGCTTTCGGACGAGGGGGGCACCGACGCAACTGATTCCACGGGGCTCCCGGTCGAAGGCACCGATCCCGCCGAGGTCAAGGGAACGAACGACAGGTGGTATCGCCGAGTGATTATTTCCCCGAGCTACCGTGAGAGGACGAAGACGAGAAAAACTCCACGGAGTCCCTGGGCGATGGGGTCGACCCGGCCGAAGGCGAATCATGTCAAAAAGGGTGCACCTCATCACGCTGCCAAACGCACGGCAGCAGTAGAACCCCCCAGTAAAGCATCGCGAGAGACGAATTCACTTGCAACAACCGTTGCAGCCTCACATACGCCCATGGACCCACGCCCGACAACGTGCAACCTATAGCCCGAGAATGAGGTTTGTCGGCGTTTTCCACCTCTCTGCGGCGATACTTCCGACCCTTGCACGAAAACCGAAACCAGTAGTAAACAACTAGAATATTAAAAGATAAAGAGACGAAACCAAGCGATGTACACGACACGCGCTAATTCTTGTTAACTAAGTGCCGTTCGTACAACACACAGATACACTTGGTGCGACCGGTGACGACAGATCGTTAGGTTCTCGAATTCCAGCGCCTGTGTGGCTAGGCGTATCGAACAGCGCAACGAGCACTATCTGGCTCGCGCCGACAGAACGACGACGTTGTCAGAAAAGGCTTATTTCAGAGAAGAAATATGAGTATTATCCGAACATCTCGTATTCCCACACGATTACCCAACAACCAGGTGCATGTATGGAGTGTGTACAAAACGAAGCAACGCTGCCAATGCCGGGGGAGAGGAAAAATCTCATTTCTACCCACCCGCCATGCCCACACCCGTTTGCAACTTTTTAGTTAATAGGCGCAGCTCGCGAACTTCTACGTACATCTGTTGTCTGTTTGTCGGTTTCCGATGAAAAGCCACCTTCCACACCGCCACCGCAACTATAACTAACTGCTGTGCTCCTGTCTCGCTGCAATGAATGGTTTGTTGCACGTTTCCTAGCACGCCTAAGCTTGGTACACTACTACTCTCAGTCTCCTACTACTCCTCCCTCTTCCCTTCCTTTCCCGCGACCACTCCCACCCACCCACCCCTGCCCAATTCCTACGATCGGGAAGAGACGCAAGGAAACTGACATGGCAGTATCGCATGTGCGATATGGGAGAGGAGAGGTTGCCGAGAACCTGGGAGACGAAGTGGGAAAACAAGAAGAGGGGTAGACAACCCACGGAGTGGGTCAAGGTTGTAGCTGACGTATGGAAAGGGTTAGAAATTGACGAAGACGATACGCTGGATACGGAGGGTCTAAACGGGTTCAGGGAGAAGATATCTGCTGCTGCTTTTGCCGAGAGAGAAGAACCGAATCTAAGGAAAGAAACTAAGGATAAGGAGGGTATAGAAGTGTACGGAATGTTGAAAGAAGGAAAGGGTTCAAGGCGTACCTTCATGGACCAATGGATGCTGGGACAAAGCTGAAGGTCAAATTCAGGACCAGGGACATTGATATTCGAGAGTGTAGCCGAAGGCTTCGGAAGGTAGACGATGAAGACGCAAATTCAAATTTAATGTCATTGCGGCTTCGAGTGCGAAGACCGTGTTCATGTAATCGCGGAATGTCGGCTGTACAAGAAGGAGAGGGAAATGTATACGACTGAGCTGGGAAAAGTAGGAAAAAAATACAGGGAGATGTTTGAGGCATGGGATAGCCAGGAGAAGACGTTAGCTGTACTGGGGCGGCATAGGAAGTGGGTTGAAAAGGCGGGAGGTGATATCATCGGTAGAAATGATATCGGTAGGTAGGGTAGATGGACTAGGGAAGACATTTTTGAGCCACCTTTGGCAAAGTAGGAAGGAACGATCGGCCAACGGTCATCGGTCCTGTGGGAACAATGCTCCGTCCTCTCGAGGACGCGTGGTCAATGGTCTAACCGCTAAGGCATGCAAAACATAAGAGTACACCCGCCCCCCGCCCCCCCCCTGCCCACTTCGGCCTCGCCCTCCCTTGCATTTCTCTCCAACATGTGTGGGGCGAAAGGAGAGGTTATTGTGGACTAGATACTCCATACTAGATAGATGACTAATTGTACTACCACACCTTAGGGTTAGGCGGAGAGATGGCGGTACCGTTCGGAGGGATGGCGCCGGGGTTTGCCGGGGTGCGAAAAAAACGAGGAAAAAACATTTTTAAACACTGTCGTCGCCCCCAGTGCCATATCTCTCCGCCTTTATTTTTCGTACGCGGTATCATCTACGATGACAACCGGTTACAAATAACACCACACATAGTCTACATGGATGACCGGGCGGCATATATTCGTTCCTATCCGAAGACAGACAGTAACAGATGTATGTGCGTGCACTCTGCAGGCGAGAAGACTACTTGAATGATGAGTATGTAGTAGACTATGTATGGGGTTTTCGATGACGACGCCCGGCCCTATTTTTCAGCCGTCAGTGACAGATTCGTTCGGTGGCTGGCATATCCATCCATCCAACCAACTGCACACACACGAAGAACACGTGCGACAAGAGCGAAGCAGGTCGTACACCTCTCTCTCTCCCACCTGTAAGTCTAGATAGACCAAACTACATTGATTGATTGATTGTTGTCTGTTTCAAACGGTATGACGCACGCAACACGCAACCTCTTTGTTCTTTTAAACACGGGTATGGATATAGATACGACGGGGGGAATGAGCACCCAAACTATCCATCCATCTATTACGTGCGACGACGGGCCAGCCACACACACCCAAGATTGATTGTGCGTCGGAGTTTAATATTTATTTGAAGTTTCAGCAAGCAGCAAGGGCATGCATGCATACTTCAAAACGAAGTCGCTGACTGAAATCAAATTATGTGTATGTGCGGTTACATTATTATTCCCACCACCACCCACAGCAGTAATACGTGCGTGTGTATGTATTTATGTACCTGCTGCATGATTTTTCAAATTTGGGCGCGGGTTATTCCCCGCACACATACGATGATAGCAAGTGATCTCTCTGTAAGTTGTGAACTCACGACCCTCATCCACGTATACGTGCGTGTTAGTCTGTGTGGGATACAGCAGTAGCCTATTGGTCCTTCCTTCTCTCAGAGGTGATGTGCTCATCCACACAACCAACCAAAGCGCCGAAATATCTTGTATGATACCAGACTGTAGGCTTTGAATCTACGATGATGGTATATGTATGCATTTGAGCATCTATCTACAATAACTACAACTACTACCTACTACATAAGGTGTCTGCTGTCTGCTACCTACAGCCGTTGTATCCAGGTTGTATGAAACGTCTTTCTTCTTCTTCTCTCTTTGCGCACTGCTTTCGTCCCTACCCAGTCATTTCCTCCTCCCTGCTTGCATGTCACGTCACAACTTTCCTCTGTCCGTTGTTCTGTCTCCGAGCATTACGCAGGTAAACGTGGAAACGCGCGTGGGATCCATGTCATCAACATGGCTATCTGCTATCCTTCGAAACCCACTGCTGTAGACGACCACAGGATTACCAGTCTCTGTCATTTTCTTCATGGTCCGCGCTACTTCTCCAACAACAAAAATGATCTCGTCTCTCTCTAGCGATCTCTCCCCTTTTATGTCCGTTGAACTCTCCTCTCCTGTGTGTGCTTCTTCGCCTTCGCAACAACAACTCCCCCCTCTGCTGGCTCTTGTCATCGCGCATCTTCCCCTTTCTCACCCAACCCAAAGGCACACTCTCACACCGGAGCTGCGTCGGCGGAGGACGCTAATTGAGGAAGAGACGTTAGGTGTGAAGCCCGTGAGTTCACTCCATAGCGCAGCCAGCCGCGTTCTTGGCCCTCCAACAAGCTGCGGGAAAAAAAAAACAGAACCCGACCTTTCCCGTGAGGCGGCCAGAGACAGAGAGAGAGAGAGACGGAGAGTGATGAGGGAGGAGTCTTTGGTGACAGCGTCGCGGAGTGCTGCGAAGAGCGGCAGCGGGCGATGCAGCTGGGCAAGTGGGAGAAATTGGCGGGCGGTGGCGGTGGCGTCCGTCGCCCTCGTCGCTCTGACCAGACGCGTGGCGGCGCAGAGCGATGAGGTCTTGGACCTGTACCCTTACAAGGGATGTTTCGTGGACAAACACGGAGAGGATCGCGCCATGGAGCACATGTCGATCATCCCAGACCTTACGCTGGAGCACTGCGCCATGATCTGCATGGAAGAGGGCTACGCGTACGCTGGGCTGGAGTGGCAGATCGAGTGGTGAGTCTGTGGCAGGCCTTTCGGTGTGCTGTTGTCCGCACTCTTCGGTATGCTGCTGTTGGGGTACCTCTCGACCTCTCTTGCACACATACATTCTTTTTGTCAGATTCACAGCAGTACTTTCGGCAGTTGGTGACATACCGGCCGCCGGCTTCGGGGAACACGCCCCGGCAGCACGCTAATGGGCACCCGCTTTCTTCGTCATTGCCATCCTGGTAAACACAGCAGCAGTGTAACAGCAGCCGACCGCCGGTGTTCCTATCTGATTCGAAACCCCGTCGCCATTCTCCCATAGGTCTTCTCTACTTGCCCGATATTCATCTGAGTGCATACTGTAGAAAGAGATCGGAACGGTTTTTAATGTGAAGACAACAACAATACTGCTGTACGAAGGTCGCGTGTTCTTTCTCTCTTGTTGTCTTCCAGTCCAGCACTTTCTCTCCTATCGCATGTCTTGTCCATCCGCGACTGCTGTATGTCGTCTTGCGTGCGTCTGAGAGGAGTTCCGATAGCCAGCAGCAGCAGCAGCAGCAGCAGTAGCGGCGGCTCTCTTCTCTCTGACTGACGATCGTATTCATGCGATCTCAGGATTAGGGGTCGGAACATCTTTCATGGCTTCTCCTTCCTTCCAACGTGCGGTACACTTCGGCACTTTCGAAAGATTTGACCAATCAATCACCTTATTTTAAATTCTTCGCTCTCTACGACTACTCCTGGAAACAACAGCAGGGGACACAATGAAGACCATTGGTGGGTAGGTCTCCAGGACTCACGGTACATGCGCGAACGCATGCGTCCGTCCGCCTCCAACGGCATTGGCATGTTTTCCTTTTCTCTTGGCGGCGTGCACTGCTTGCTGCTTGAACAGCATCGCCGCCGCCATCAGATGGCTGCCTGTTTACTGGACAAGGAAAGAACGTGGGATCTTTTGAAATGACGTGGAACGCGCGCGTTCTCATGTGTACGTAGTACGTAGCTCCCCATCACGACGGTCTCGGTCTCTCGTTGTGTCTGTCTCCACAAGGGTGGTCCGCACCGCGAAGCCAAGCCAAGGCCGAAAGGCCGGTACTTGTAGAACCGGCGAGTCCCGGTAATCACAACTTAAATTTCGTGACACAAAAATGTCTGAGGCACGCACCAACTTTAAGCTCGCGTTGCACACATCATTACTGATGTACTTCGAGCAGATGATGATGTGCTTGCGCGTCGCCCAGAGGCACGAAACAACCATGGATAGACGCAGCCTCCGAGAGAGCCGTTGCTCACCGCACCACTTGCCGCCACATTTGATTCGATATGCCGCTGAAACTTGAATCTACAGCTGTCGTACATATGCGTACCCGGCTGCAAGATATATGCTCAGATACTGCTGCATTGGTTGGCAAGAACCGAACACTTGACATGCAGCACGTTTTTTTGTCAAGGACGTTGGGGTGAAACCACGGGCTATTTCATCTACTTATTCACTGGTTGAAGGGCTCTGGCTTCTTATCCACGGATGGATGCAGATTTGGAGGCGGAGCTGTACGTCCATTTATAAATTGACCGAACACCTCCATCTCCCAGTCCAGTACTGTAGTATTTCCATTGGTGTTGGGCATGGTATAAAATTAGCACCAGTGAACAGAACGCGAATGGTTCTGTAATGCCAATGCTTTCAACCGGTAAACTCTCTGACAGCCGTTTCACCGGCGTGCAAAGGCCGAACTCCCTCCTCTTGCCTGTGGTGTCGTTGGGAATTACGTCCAACAGCTCAAGACGCTGCTCAAACAAACCTCCCCGCTTCGGATATGACGTCGAGCACCCCCAAAAATCACTCGGAACGTGCGAGCGTACGAGCTCCATGACTGACCGCTGTACACCACCACCACATATTTTTATGCGTCCAACGACTACACTGCTCAACAGACGTGCGTGTTCCCTACAATCGTTGGTACCGGCCGCGCAACAAAAAGGCCTGACATCCGATAAATGATTAATACTCCACCGTTTTGGCGGGCAGGGCTGGTGTGTCTGGCATTTTTACAACAATACTCTGTACGCGTGCGTCATGTGGGTGGGGCCGCGGGCACAATTACCGCGTCGCGGTGTCTGAACTGGTCCGGCGCGGTCCGCCTGTTCCATGGAGTACCATATCTTGTCATGAGGACTCGCGGTAAAATAGTCGCATCGCCTCCCACCCCAGAAGTATGATATATGGTTCCGCTCATGGCAACACGAAGTTTAAGTTTCAGCGTACAAGTACCGAAGCCGACGTATAATATGTCGCCCCGGCCGCCCCGGTGGTCTAGTGGGTACCCTCGCAGCCAATGAAGTGCCAGGTTCCACTCCCTGCAAAGTGAAATATTTTCTCACTTAAATAAATCCTGGTCTAAATTGGAAGCGACGCGCTGCAAAGCTCGTTGTGAGTAAACTAGATCGACTTCATAAGCCGCGAGGGAAGGGATTGCTGTACCCTTATCGCGATAAAAGTATCTCAACTTCAGAAGCCGCGAGGGAAGGGATTGCTGTACCCTTGTCGCGATAAAAGTATCTCATGCAGGACCCGCAGGAGGGGGGTCCAACCCCCCCCTCCTATGTGACCCCGGTTGGGTCGTCTATAGCTAGTAGAAGTGGAGAATGGGGGCCAGAGGGGCAGACGACAGAGTCCAATGATGAGAGAAAAAAAAAAAAAGTCGGCATGAGAAATGTTGGCATCGGTAGATGTGATCGTCACGTAGAACCAGCCCCCCACGCCCAGTGATTGTGCCGCCGCCCCGAGCCCCCCCCCCCTCCCCCCCCCGAAACGCCAGACAAGAAGGTGTCGCACTCGCCGACAGTCTGTTTTTTCTTTTTTCTTTTTTCCGCATGCAAACAACAAACTCAATGAATCCATCCTCGGCTGCAATTTCCCCCGCCTCACCACAAAGCTATCATACGTGTTGATGATACCAACCCCCACACCAACCCTTCTCTTCCACCACCACCTCACATGCACAGCTTCTGCGGGAACAGCTACGACAAGTGGGGAGACTCCACATCGTGCGACATGTACCTTGCCGCAGAGCCCACCGTCGAGGCCGGCGGGGACTGGGCCTTGTCAGTCTACGGGCTCCCGGAGGTGCTAGACGTTAACTCGAACTCGGCGGCCGCGGTTGCCGCTTCGGACGGCGGGAGCGACATCATAACGGCCGCCACCTCGCTGAGCGACCTGGGCGCCGTGGAGAGCGGGAAGCGCGCCTTCACAGTGGTGAACGAGTGCTCGCAGGACGTGCGCGTTGGGTCTACCGGGGGAAGGTGAGGCCATGGCGGGGGTTGTGTCTTCCTTCTCCTTTGGACAAGTGGGGTGTTGGCGCTTGTGTTGAGCGCACGTGTGCTGGTTTCGTCTGGCGTTGGTCTGGAAGCTTGAGGTGCCTGACTTCTTGGCACACGCTATGTACGCGCTGGGACCTAAGGCGTGTTGTGTTGTTGGAAAGCTCGCGAGACATCAACAGGCCCGCCTCCCGTGCCACATGGCAGTAATATGTAGGGATCGGGTCGATTGGCAGATGCTTCGATGCACTTGCGTTTGGTCTTTCAACAACAGGGTGGCTCCGCAGGGTTCATGCAGTGTACCTCGTAGACGCACAGGAGTTTGCATGTGTGCATGCCCCAAGATGTAGCATACGGAAATTGGTTTCCACGTCCTTTTGGAATGGAATGCGCTTGCGGTACATCCATGTCCCGACATTTTTTTGTGGTATTGGCGCGTTAACATGGGAGCACCACGCATGTGGTAGATCGACACGACACACGGGTGCTGCCTCCCGTCACCTTGTACGCTAACGCCCCAGAGCTCCACCCAACGACGAGGACAGGCGGGGGATCCACACGGTTGTTGGAGCAATTTCGACGTGCGGGGGCGGTGGCCCCTCCCTGCCCGACCTTACTCCACGCCATGTTTTGGTTGCAAGCGGCCCTCCTCTGACCAAACCCCATCCTCTAACAAACAAGCAAAACACCGGTGCCCCTAACTCTTGTAATCCGAATCCCTTTTCAGGATCACGTTCGGCTCCGGAACGGACCCCGAGAGCAAGGACAACTGCGACGCCTGGGGTCTCTCTGCCACGTACAACACCGGGCCCATGGGAATCGGGTGCTACTGGGACTTCCCGGAAGAGGAGTCGGGCAACACGGACCGCATGCTCTCGCCGGGACAAGCGTTCCGCTACTACCTCCACGAGACGGACTCCGACGTGCGCTGGAGCGGGACCATCTGGGGCAGCACCGGCTGCGACAAGATCGCCGGGTGCGCGACCGGGGTGTGCTACTCCCCCTCGACGGACTACATCTGCCCGGCGTACGTGGGCCCCGGCGGCCCCACAACTAAGGCTGAGTTCACCCTCAGCGAGACCGGCAAGGACTACTACGACATCTCGGCTATCGACGGGACCAACCTCCCCATGATGATCGAGCCCGATAACCCGATCTTCCCGAACAGCACGGACCAAAACATCATGAAGGTGCGTTTTCTGCCGCGGGGGGGGGGGGGGGGGGGGGGGGGAAAAAAAAAAAAAGGGGGTTTTTTTTTTTTAAAAAAGGGGGGGGGGGGGGGCCCCCCCCCCGGGGGAAAAATTTTTGGGGGGGGGGGGGGTTTTCCGGGGGTTTTTTTCCCCCCCCCGGGG